ACTCGCTGGATAAAAAGTCGCGTATGTTCTTTCAACAGTGCAAACGCGGTGAGCTGCAGTACGATTCGATATATACGGAATTTCATAGCCTGCGAGGCAACTATTTCAAAGTAATGGAGGATGCGGATGAGAAAGTTGCCATTGCCACCCAAATACATGAGCTCGTCGAGCGCTATCTGCGCCGACTGGATAGCGAGCTGTTCAAGTTCAAGTGTGAACTGGAGGCAGACAACAATGGCATTACAGAGATATTGGAAAAGCGTTCCCTTGAATTGGACGGCAACAACTCCACGGCTGCGACGGCACTTCTGCTCAGCATGAATCAGAAGGAGAACCGCTATTATAACACAGGCAGCGGCGTCAACAACAATTTAATGTCGGGCAACATCAACAGCGCCGCGGGCATCATTACCAGCACGGGCAGCACTAGCGGCAATCTGGTGGTCAACAGCTCCGCACTGAATAGCCTGTCTGGCAATAATAGCTCGTCCAGTGGCAGCCATCAGCGACATCGCAAGCTAGAGAAGCGCCGCGAGACAATCTGCACGGTGCCCGTGCCGGAGAAGCGGCCCAATCTGAATCAGTCGCTGCCCGTGGTCACCGCCGCCAGCAATAGTGTCAGCAGCATTGTCAATCCTGTCAGTGGCAATCATGTCAATGCACTGCCCACTCACGCCACTCTGCCCGTGGCGCCGAGCACTGCCAGCTCCAACAACAGCAACCACAGCTCGACAGTCGCTAACGCCGTGGCCGCCAACATTGTGCGCCAGCTGCCCACAAATCTCAGCGCGCACAGTGTGCTTAGCGCCAACAGCAATAGTGCAGCTGTAGCGGCTGCAGCAGCAGCAGCAGCCGCCGCTGCCAGCAACAGCGTAACTGTTGGCCCCGTGGCGGGCACGGGCGCTGGCTCGAGCGCGGGCATAGCTGCCAGCCATGGCAACACCACGGTCAGCTATAATTTGCATCAGTTTGGTGGCGGAGGCGCTGCCTCCAGTGCCATTGCGGCGGCCGCCAGCCAGGCGATTGTTGCCACCCAACAGATGCCGCAGGGCAGACGCACGGCCAGCCTAAAGGCCAGCTACGAGGCCATTCACGGCGCTGGTGTTGCAGGTGGCACGGAGTTCTGGTCAGCGGCCGCGGTACACAATAGTAGCATTCAGCCAGCGACTGGCACGCTGGCCACCAGCGTGCACCATCATACTCCACAGCAGCAGCAACAACAACAACAGCACCAGCAGCAACAACCGCAGCAACAACAACAACAACAGCAACACCAGCACCAACATCAGCACCAACATCATCAGCATCAGCACCATCAGCATCATCACGAAAAGAAGCATAAGAAGTAAATGAAGCTCAACTGTTGCTGGGGTCCGTTCACTAATGGTTTGTCTTTTTCTTGCAGAAAATTGAATGCCAGCATTTCAGTGCCCAGTGGAATAGCCTACAAGATCTGGGATGGCTCGTCGTCGGGCAATTCGATTGCATCGTCATCATCGTCGATCAGTGTTGATTCTGGAGACATGCTTTCAACTGCCTCCGCCGCACCCATACAACACGCTAATCTTGGCCAGGGCACACTGGCCATCAATCCACCATCGAATCAGTTGGCCACCAGCCATGCGACAGCTGCTGCTGTGGCAGCCACAGTGGCGCCTGTCACGCTGCCCACGGTTAACAACGTAGCATCGGCACCCATTGGGCTGCCACCCAGCACTTCGCTAGCTCCGGGCGCTAATCTAACCATTAGCGATACCGGGTTGGTTGTGGAGCAAACCAATGAAGGCGAATGGTCGTATGATCCCAACGAGCCGCGCTACTGCACCTGCAATCAGGTATCTTACGGTGACATGGTTGCCTGCGACAATGATGCCTGCCCCTACGAGTGGTTCCACTATCCATGTGTGGGCATCACACAGCCGCCCAAGGGCAAGTGGTACTGCCCCAAGTGCACAGCTTCTATGCGACGTCGTGGCAACCGGAAGAACTGAGCCACAAATTGAGCTGGAGCTGGACCTGCGAGGGAAGATATAATAAACTTACCATAGATCCAATATATTATATATATATTCTAATATTAGATGCCTCAAAAAAAAAAAAATAATAAAATGATCAGCGGAGCGAGAATTGACCATTTTTTAATCTGCATTTAGCCCATGGACTTAAGGACTCCGTACAATAAATAAAGCTCAATCAACATAACATTTAGGATATAATTTAGTAATCGGAAACAATTGAATGAACTGCATTTGGGATGCATATATCGATAGCCATTTGGTATATCGCATTTCCGAAAGCTAGATTTGTACATCGCAAATGAAATGCACATCACTAAGTGACGGCAGCAGCAGCAACATTGGCTTTGTCCGAAAACAAACTGAATAAAAAGTATTTTGCGTCGTGCAAACGTAAATCAATACCGTAATTATATCTACGGTTGAAGAAGTAAGAGGCGAGACGGTCATTAACCAACTCATTACGTGCTCCCAACGGTTACAAATAACGGCCTCAAAATTGGCAAAATACGGAAAAACAAGAAAATGAGCTATAATGAAAAAAGCGAGGCCATCACTAAAGAGGAATGGCTGCAACGGCTGGAACAGTTCCCGTTCAAGCAGGCGGACATGAATCGTTTAATCATGAACTACCTGGTCACAGGTAATCACCCATACTAATTAGGAAAAACGAGAGATGAAAAATCAATCCATTTGGTATTTTTCCCTATTCAATATGTATGTATATCAATTTTGATTCCTCACAGAGGGGTTCAAGGAGGCAGCCGAAAAGTTCCAGCACGAAGCCGAGCTAGAACCTAGTGTTGAGCTGAGCAGCTTGGATGATCGCATCTTGATACGGGAGGCTGTGCAGGCGGGCCGCATTGAAGAGGCAACGCATCTGGTCAACCAGTTGCATCCGGACTTGCTGGGCAGCGAGTTCTATCTATTTTTCCACTTGCAGCAACTGCAGTTGATTGAGCTAATTCGAGCGGGCAAGGTGGAGGAGGCTTTGGTCTTTGCACAGTCGAAGCTGTCCGAGTCGGGTGAAGATATCCGTTTTGAGCTGGAGCGCACTCTTGCCCTGCTGGCATTCGAAAAGCCACAAGAGAGCCCTTTTGCCGATCTACTGGAGCAATCGTACAGACAGAAGATTGCCAGTGAGCTCAATGCGGCTATATTGCGATGTGAGCACAACGAGGACTCGACGCCAAAGATGATGTTTCTGCTGAAGCTTATACTGTGGGCCCAATCAAAGCTCGACAGCCGTTCGATCAACTATCCGAAGATGAAGGATCTGGAGACTGCGCAGCTGGAGAATAAATAAGTGTGGACCACCCAGACGGCACAAGCGGGGCTAACGGATAAACAATAATAAATAACAAATGTATAAGAGTGGGCGGGCGGGCGTGGCAGCGTTAGAGTGAAGTGAATGGAGTAATATGTGCAAGCAAGGCAAAGTAATACCATTTCTATATCTATTTCTATATATATATATATTTTATAAACGTACGCATTAGGATTTTATGTTGCAAGATTGAAAATATCTGAAGCTGAATTTGGTTTCGAACAACAAACATTGATTGCATTTCATTTTATTACAAAACAACCTAATGGTACCGATGCTGAGCAGCTGGATTGATCGATCACCAGCCAAAAATCAGATCCATTGCCTTGTTTACCAGACCCGTGCTCTTTTGGGGCACATTTCGATTGGGCGATACGTGAATCTCGTTGTGGGCGATGTTGTAGGACTGCTGTGTCAGCGATCGCACCTTTGGCCTGAGTGCCTCGGCATCTGGTTCCACTAATTTCACATTCTCCTTGTTGATGACGCTCTCGTCGGTGCAACGAGTTACGCCCACCATGACGTTGTTGGCAATCACCTTCAGATTGTAATTCAATGCCTTGTCGCTCTCGATACGCGATGCGAAGCGCACGTGCATCCAGTTGCCGTTCTGTGGGGCGTGCACCACATCCACAATTGTGCCGCACATGGTGAAGTGCTGCAGTATCATGGAACTGGCTCCGGGTGCGAAGCCAAAGATTGTTACCCAAAAATCACTATTCCGTGCCTGAGGTGTGTGCGATACGTTCAACGGGGACATGTTGGCACCCAGCGGCGAGCAGAGGGCGCGCATCGAGGCGTTGACAGCATTGGGCGCATTTGGCACATACGAGTCATTCAGCTGCGTGGTTGGTGGTTGGCAGCTTTGATTCAAGCTGTAGTTCGAGCTGTTCAGATGGGACGTCTGCAACATGCCCAGATGTGTGCGGTGTGGCGTGCCGCACAGCTGTTCGTTGCGCAGCGAATCGAATAGACCTTGAGTGGGTGGGCCAGCCTGATGACTAGTGTTTGCGCTACTGGCATTCCCGCCATTACCACCACCAGCAGGCCCACTGGTGCCACCAGCAAATAAGGTACGCGTTCCCATTGCTGTACGATTTATTTGCTGTGGATTATTGTAGCTCGTTTCCTGGGGAGTGTTATTGTTTGGAGACGTAGCTGCAAATAACAATTATACATATATTCGCATATGGTCCTCTAACCAGACTTCTCTTTAAATGCATACCAAAGCTGATATTATACCGTCCTAGCTTAGGAGAGAGCGTGTTGTTTTGGGGCGTCATTGCCTGTGAGTCGCCCATGAGAAAAGGCGGCAAATATTGGCTTTGATTGCTGCCAGGACTGCTGACGGGACTGCCAAGATTCATGGGCTCCATTCTATTTAACAAACTTACTATCTGATGCAAAAACACAACAAATACAACTAAATACACTATGCAAACGAATGCAACAACCGACGCCGCTATTTAAACAGCCATGCATGATGCATCATAGTATTTAATTTTGCATAGAGTTGCGACCACAACTGTTGCAGCGAAAATTATCGAATATCTCGATAATACTGCCGTGTAAAGTTGCGCCAGCAATAACGGACCAGCCGCTTTTGGTATTTTTTAGCGGTATAACAATATGATCATATCGATAGTGTGGGCATCGATTGCCAGTTTCATTTTAGACATCTCAAACAACAGAGCTGCAGGGTAGGCGCGTGTGGCCTGTAAGCGTTTTCTTTTTTTTTGTTGCTATTCAAAAGAATATATTTACTATACGCGACGCGTCTAAACTAGTGTATGTGTGTGTGAATAATTTGTTGCTGCGTTAATTTAAAGATTAATGCGCACAAGTGCATTAAATAATAATAATACCAAAAGAAAAACAACAGACAACCAGCGCCCCTGCCCTTCAAACAGCTCTACAATAATATTCCAATATAAATAACTTCAAAATTCAAGTGAGGAGCTGTTATTTTGCCAAACTGCAAAAGGGTGCTAGCCGTTATGTGGAGTCCAACACATTGCAGTGTAACTGGTAAGTGCAGGTGTTATTCACTCACTATCTCTATCTCTCCTGTCAGCTGGTTATACTCATAAGTGCCGTTGCATAAATAACATTTGAGAGGGGCTACTACCAAGACGCTCCTAAAATATCACATTTAACGTCAAACTGGTTTAGTTATTGTCACTGTATGTGTGTGTGTGTGTGTATCTCACACTGACAGCCTGCATGCCTGTCTCTGTGTGTGTTTGTGTGTTTATGGGTTCAAAAAATCGTAAAATTTAAGCGCAAAGCCAATTGAACTGCTGTTAAATACTATTAATTGGTCAAATTACGCATTGTGTTTATTTTTGTCGACGTCTTATGATGATTGGGACTTTAAAAGAATAACAATATTAATTTACACAGACATATTAGTTATGTACATGCATATGTTTGTAGTAGAGATTCTCTGTATGTGTGTTTTATTTTTATTTGTTTCGTGGTGAAAACCATTGTAACCTATTCAACATCTTGTTTAAAATTTCACTTTTTCTGTTTTCGACGCTTTGAACGCATGACCCCCGCTCTGCCCGCTGCTGCTGCTGCCGCTGCTCAACGACTGCTGCCAGTTTTCCCGGTTTTCTCTTTTTGTTTGACCATACTTTATCTCGACACAATTGCAGTATCAGTGAATTACGTTGATAAGATTATGTATTTATTTGCCATTTTCATTGCCTCAATGCGATCATTTTTTGTATTATTTATATTAATATTTTTTCAGTCGCTTACTCACCGCTCGTGTCTAAAATCCACGAACATTTTTAACTCGCAATTCTAACTTCATACAGTCACACAGTCACACCCACAAACAAACAAGCACAAGCACACACACAGACACATTCGCTCTCCTCCTGTTTCGCTCTTTCCTTTTTTGCTTCTTCTCCAACATTCTCTTGTTTTTGTTGATTGATTTGCTAATGGCGCATGGCGCGCATATTTGATTTATTTTGATTCCGCCTTTTCTTCTTTGTCGCATTCCTTCACATACGTGCACATGTGTATGTATGTATGTATCTATATAACTGTGCATACATACATATATAGTTATGTATGTACGTGTGTGCATTTTTAGTGGGCCTTTTGGTGCTCTTGCCCATCGAATTGGACATGTTTACGTTTTTGTTTTGCTTTCTTCATGGCTGAATGTCAATGAAAAATCAGCGCAAAATATTGCAATCGTGACAAAATGGCAAAAATCTACGTCGAAAAAAAAAACTATCTGTCTCTGTCATTTGCTCTCCCTCCCTCTCTCTTTCTCTCTCCTTCCTAGATTATTTTGCTAATATTGTTTTTAATTATGAATGTCAATTGCAATTATTGCATATTGCACAATTAAAGTAAACATGTGCATTTGTATGAATGCATGTGTGTGAGCATGTGTATACGTATAAGGCTGCATACACACACATACATGCGTGTATGTCTACATATGTATGTAATTGCACAGATGAATAGGTAAATGACTCACGAAATGTTGAAAAGCTCACGACTGAAAAAAGCAGATAATGAACGCGCACACACGCGAATTTGTATATTTGTATGTATGTATATGTACATATGTATACATACTGATAAGGCTCATTGTAAATGCTCTCTCTCTCTCACATGCACACACACATAATTACCGATAAACGATTCTTGAAAGCACTGTCATCACCAATTAGGCTGCTTTTACTTTTGTTTGTCCTTTTGCGTCTGTTTCTCCACCTTGAACTTGCAGAACTTCGCAGCTTTGCCGCTGCTCTCCACACGCATACATATACACACGTACATGTGTGTGTGTGTGTGTGTGCTTGTATATGTGTATTGGCATAGAGTAAAGAGTCCAGCAAATCGACGAAACGTCTATGCTCTTTTGCCAATAGGCTGATCTATCCTGGTATACGCAATGAAAATAGAATTAAGGGCAGGTGAATCATACGTTCCGGTATGCGCTCATTATGATGATAAGTGCGGGTCTTTCTGTTTTATCACTAATTTTACTGCAACGACTCGGAGATATTGGCAAAACATATAATGACACGTTGCAAGATAGAGGAGACAAAAAGTAAAGGCAGCGATGGTTCTTTAGAGCTGGTTTGTGAACTTGCCAGCAAGTTGGCTTTAGTTCATTAGAGCTAGTTCCTAAACTCTGTTTTTGGTTGTCCATGAATGCAAGGCTTATATATAGTGTATATACTGTATTTATCTTCTATAAAGCCGTAATTATATTACTACCTCTTGAACATGTCGGGGGGTTTTGGTTCTTTGAAACCGGTTCGTGAACTTGTATATATTTTTTTTCATGTCCATGAACGTAAGGCCTTATATATCTATGCATATATCTAACGCCCTTAGAGGAATTAGCGAAATTTGTTTCGGTTCGATTTGATTATTCTCAGTTTACAACTGGTTTGGCTTATATACATACATATATATACTATATATGTGTATAGTATATAGAGAACGCCAGTTCGAAATGTTGTATGGCGCTCAAGCTCTGTTGAATGATTATAAAAAGACGTTGACGTCAATTAATAAACAAATCCGTTGCCAGCTTGTTGGTCGACTGCTCTCGCCTGTCTGTGTTTTGGCATTGTTTGCTTTCTTCTAGATTGATAAAAGTGCCATACCAGGCCGTACCGCACCGCACCGCACCGCACCGCACCGTCCCCGTCACCCCCATCCCTCCCACAGGTGCAAGCCAACGACACTTGTCCAATTCATACCACGCTTCTCGCAGTCGTCGAAATAATACGAATATCTCTGTTTCTCTCGATTGTTTGCCAAAGTCTTATATAAATATTTGCGCCTGAGATGAGCCTGAATCGTGTGAGGTGAGTAGGAGGAACAGCTGTTTGGTGTTTCGGAAAGCCGATTTATTACCAAATTAAACTCTGAAATACCTTAGGCATACATATGTGAGTGTTATGAATTGGATTATATTCAATATAGAGTAATACATATATATATTTATTATATATATGCCGACCACATGTTCATAAGAATCCAATTATTTGCTCAGTTTCCATCTATTTTTCACACTTGTGGGTGGAATTTCTAAAACACTAACTTGATTTTTTTTTTTTTCTTGTTTATGATTTAGTTTAGTTAATTAAGTTAATGGCTTGCCTTTTTAATGGGGCACTTGGGTTAAGTAATATGAACACACCCACTGCATTGACGTGGCACTCCTCTATATTAGACTTCCCTCATTTCCCAGCACCCCTCCCCTTCCGCCCCCCGCCCTTCACAGTGCAAGCACGGTTCGTACTCTGTGTAATGTCTGCTTTTAGAAGTTGGCGGCTGTTTTTCCGCCAAACTTTGCGGCCGCCCAAGTGTGTGCGTTATTTTTAGCCATAAATTCTTGCCTAGAGCACCCTACCCTCTCTCCTATCAGGGTGCTGGCCGGCTCGGTCGTGCACCGGAGTTACAGCAACGCAGAAACATCGATAAGAAATAGCAGCGAAATTGCGCAATATGTTGCCTTTTTTTAAAGCAGGCCACGAGACCATCAAACTAGCCAACCAATCAACCAGACAAACAAACAAAATTCCACCAAGCAACCAAGAGAAACACACGCACATTAACGATTCATATTCCAAAAAAAAAAAAAAAAAAAAAAAAAAAAGAAAACACAATACCTAAAGACATCAAAAGCAACGACCATTGAATGCTCTTGAGTTCGAATTTATTGCAGCTAAGCAAATTAAGTCCTCGGAATTATTCATAATATCGCTTGAATCGATATTTTTATAGAGCAACTTGAGATATTTGTACAACACTTATCATATACATAAAAATATAAATAAATGTAATTAGCAATATAGTTACATATATATACAGAGCTGTATTAAGTCTTCAATTTACTTGATTATGAATCGGCCCAAGTACGCGTTAACTAAAGGGTATGAATTTGCATAAAATATATTAAATATTTGATACTTGTAGAATTCCAATGCCAAGCCCCACTGCTCCTCAGTAGAAGCAACACAAAACTAGATTCACGAATCGACTCGGAACTCTTCCAATTAACGTGATTTGACTGGTTTGCGAATACTTACAAATCGTAAAGATGCAATTCTTATTGGAATCGCTGGCTGTAATAGCGTTTGCCCGTTGGATGCATTTATGCGAAACAGTTACGTTTCATTGCCCCCGACCCAGTTAGCGACTATTCTTGGCGAATAGCACGAATGCAGTGAATGAAACAGGTATGAAATCGGATCTCGGCTCCACCTCCTGCTGTCGCATCAATTGATTTCCAGTTTGCCAACTGCTAAATTTATGCTACTGCAATAATTACTACTATTACGACTACTGTTAGGACTGCTGTTACCACAACTGCTGGCATTACTATTGCTGCTACTGTTACTACTATTATTACTGCGACTATTCCCCTTAGTATTGCTATAACTTCTACTATCATTGGCAATGCTATTATTACTACTACTGTAACTACTGCCACTACTGTTACAGGTACTATGTCTACTACTATTGTTCCCACTACTACTATACTACTGTTCTGACTGCTACTACTACTACTACTACTATTATTGCCACTACTACCATTACTGCTACTATGTCTACTAATATTATTGTCACTACTATTACTGTGACTATGTCTATTACTATTATTGTCACTGCTACTATGTCTACTACTATTTTTGCTACTATTATGTCTACCACTATTATTGCCACTACTACCATGACTGCTACTATGTCTATTACTATTATTGTCGCTACTACTATGTCTACTACTATTTTTACTACTATTACGTCTACTACTATCGTTATTACTTTGCTTACTACTGTCATTGTCACTGTTACCATTACTACTACTACTATTATTGTCACTACTATCATTACCACTACTATGTCTACTACTACTACTTCTACTAATATAACTACTACTATTATTGCCACTACGGCTGTGACAGCTACTATTATTGACAATTCTATTATTGCTACTACTATTTCTATCAATATCATTGCTATGGGTACTACTACTA